TTCACCTTTTTCAATACTGGCTTCCATGGAAGTCAACTTGACTTCCATGGAAGTGTCGCGCAGCGCTTCCATGAAGCAAAAACGTGTCACTTTCATGGAAGTATGGAGTAGCTTCCATGGAAGTAGCTTCAGCTTCCATGGAAGTCAAAATTCACTTCCATGGATACTGAATACATTTGTCATAGAGTGTAGGAGATTGGTAGTTGGGGTGGAGAAGGAAAATACCTTCTTCGTCGACCTGAAGAAGGCGTGTGATTCGGTGGACCGAGAACTGCTGTGGAACGTACTGGCCAGGACCGGGATTCCGGAGGAGATGATGGTCGATATCCGCCAATTCCTCGACGGAATGCGAGCCCGGGTGAGCATGGACGATGAAGAGTTTTTTGACCGGTTCTGGGACACACAAGGCCTTCGACAAGGGTGGCTGCTGTCCCCACTGCTGTTCAACATCTTCTTCGCCGCGGTCATCGAGGTCGATTCAGCGAGGATGATGTTATTCTGCAGAATCTGATGTACCTGGAGGAGGAGACTGGAGCGGGGGCGGGGACACCACTTGACCACGTGCGGAGGGCGGTATGGGGGATGCTGTATGCCGATGATGCCGGCGTCGTATCGAGGGCTGGCGACGGACTGGCGAGAATGATGGCCGTCATCGTAGAGGTGTTCGGGGAGTTCGGGCTGATGGCGCCGGAGAAGAAGACGGAGACGCTCCTGGCACGCCTCATGCAGACAACACCACCGCTCCCCCCGCCGCAACCGCAGATCATCGAGGCAGCAGGGTAGAGGTACGCCCAGACGGCAGAACTCCGGTACCTAGGTGGCCTCGTCCTCGTCAACGAACATGGCGACCTCACCCAAGAGATCGATTACCGGAGCAGAACGGCGTGGGCGTGTGTCAGGAGGTTATGGTCAGGAGCTCTTCGACAGGCCGAGAGCACCATTCCGACTCAAGACTCGCCTGCACCAGGCCGAGGCGATGGAAGCACTGCTGTACCGTTGCATGACATGGGCCCCACGTCACGAACACTACCGGTGTTGCGGACGATACATCACCGGTTGCTCCTGCGAGTCATCGGCTACCAACGCAAGAAGGGCACCTACCGGCAGCTTTTTCCTACGCCCAGACCCTATCCAACATTCCCCATAATGGCATACGAGGGCACAACGCTGGGTTCTTCGGGCGCCGGAGCGGTGGCTTGGAAGACACTCGCGGATCACTTCGACAGCATAACGAAAGGAGCCCGTGTTGGGTGCCGTGAGAAGCTAGAGAGGAGGAAATCGGACGAGTCTCTGTCAGACTGAAGAGGGCAGGGTGCCAGAGCGTGGAAGCCACTGTTCGGCAACTGCGCCTGCTGTTCGCGGGAGCATTGGCAAGGCAGAAAGACGGACACTCCCGAAACGGTTGATGCTTGGCGAACTGCAAATCTCAGCACGACGATTATCGTTCGTTGGTGTTGCCTGTCGGAAGCTGATTTGTTTTTTAGCGGGTCAATTTAGCTGCTTCGTGAGTTTACTGCGTTGACACGATACAAAAAATGAAACAAGAGCTGCTCGGGAAACTGTAATAAAATACTACGTACGTTGGTCACCATACAAGGGGCCCGGGGAGATCGCAATGTCTCCTCTGACAAATCCAGGAAACGCCTGCAAATCTCAGTTTTCCAACTCCATGTACAGTATCGCAATTTAACTGTCCGCAGCGGTCGCTTGAGTACAATGTTAGTGTCTGAGAATGTAGCCACTAGTCTACAGACTGGTGGTCCGCGATTTACCAAACGATCCTTCTATCATCGCGAGATCGGAGAGCGACGCACAAGCAGGATGTTTGAAGCTGCAGTGCGGTCCGATTTTGAAATGCTTCAAAACACTTCACATCAACGGTGAATCAGCGCTGCTGTGAGTGTGTGAGGCCGTGAACTGCAGCGCAGCTCTTCCCTCACATGTCCGACCTGCCGACCATGTGCATTCACATGCTCTCTTCATTGCTCGTTTTTGTGTAAATTTTCGGGGGAAAATGAATCTCAAGGGTCCTTGCAGCATCATCATCCTGCATCATCAGCAGAGATATTTCCGGTGTATACAGTAGTACGAAAACAAACTACAGCACGGGCAATGCTGCATCGGATGAGATTCGCTCGCATTCATGCCACGTGTTCTAGTAGAAAGAGATGTCACACCCGACACACCAAACGAACGCCACGTGTGGAAACTTTGAACCAAAATGCCATCACCCGGGGTGGGTGCGGTCTCTTGTGCACCCTATGGTCAATATTTTCGAAAATTCAAATTGTTGCGGGCGGGTGTCTTTGTCCACGGCGCCGCAATATTGTACACGTACTCGGCAGTGTAGCACCAGTCAGATAATCTCTCCAACATGTCCAGAACGAGGGTTGCGCTCACCAATGTTCTTGTTTTTATTTTAATTCATTTCTTCATTCATTCGAAGCATCGATTGCTCGAGGGTGGAGGTTGGTCTGATTTTGAGCCGGGGGCCTCCATTACTGCCTTAATGAAGCTTCGTTGTTCCCTGCAGCTTGCATCTCCTGTCTGTGTCCTGGCACGCATTCTGTAGTGTCTTCACGCGCCGTTGCTGCTGCTACTGCTACTGCTACAACATAGACCTCGGCTTTGTCGAACCGTTGGGTTTCAGGCACGAAAATATTTAGTGTATGTAGGCTGAGTGAGTTTCCACAACGCGGCATACGGTAGTGCCAGTTAGACATACGGTGCGCCGATGTGCAAGCATGCTGCCTACGCCAGGATTTGCTCGACCATGTGCGATCATGCGCGCTATTTCTCTCCTCTGCACCGGCTCGCCGTTTTCCTTTTTCCTCCTCGGAGAAATGTTGTTGCTTGGGAGAAGCTCGGACTGCATTTTTGAATCTCAGGGTCCATTGATTGGCAGTGTAACCGCACCAGCCGATGTGACTGATTCATGAATGAACGTCCATCTTCATCTACATATCCACACGCACGCGCACTACGTGGATGTGCATGCAGCATGGGGAGCTGAAAAAAAAAAACAGCTTCAGACAGGAAACGCCGACGATACTCGTGCCGTCGATATATCACAATTAGACTTGAAAAACTGAGATATATATGCTGGCGTTTTCAGGATTCTCGTAGAGGAGACACTGCGATCCCCACCGCGCCCTTAAACCATTGACAACCTACCACGAACTCTTATCTGTGGAAGAGAAAGGCTGTGGTGCTAGAGGAATTCGCCGGACAACGTTCGTTGTTGTGGTCAAAATGTGAACAGTCGCCCCGGTCGCTGCCCTGTCAGTCAGTCGCATTGCCTTCTAACCGTGGCCTACAGGCCAAGTACCCAATGGAAGTAATCGAAAAAAAATGCACCTGTCATACAAAAAGAAAAAAAACAAAAAGGCACAAAAAATATCGAACGAAGAAGAACACCTTCTGTGCTGATAATAATGCCCTTTGGTTTCAGATGATGCACATTTGATATTTCATCAATTTGTTGACAAAGATAGGCTGTCACACCGAATGAATCCCTAGATGAGATTCGACTTTGATCAAATATATTCATTAGAGAAGATGACAACAAAATAAGCGATAGAGACAGGAAGACGGCGTGGATGAAGAGAAGAGAAACAGCACGCATGGTCGCACACGGCCGCACACTAATGGCGTATTTAGCATGGTGGTGGCGCATCGGCGTACCGTATGCGCTTTCGTCGTATCATGACCTATTGGCTCTAGGTCGCGTTGGTAACTCTCGCGGCCCACACACATTTTCACTACTATACTACCTCTGAAATGAACATGATGTGCCATTGCTTGCTGCCACGCCGACCCTGGCATTCGATTTTCTCCGACATTGTTCGAGCACCAAAAATAGCGATCAAGACAGGAAGACTCACCGTATGAGCTTTCGTCGTACAATGGATGTTGGCACCACGCGCGTTGGAAACTCGCTCGGCCCAAGCATACTTTCATTTTCTAAGCCACCACCCGAAATGAAAAATGTTTTGTCGTTGGTTGCTGTCAAGCGGACTTTGAGATTATATTTTTGACGCCGTTCTTGTTGCCCGAGAAGCCAAACAGAGCGATCAAGTCAGGAAAATAGGAGGCGAACAGGACTGAATCAGGGCGCATCGTCGCACGCTTCCGACGCAACATGTCGCGAGACGTGCGCCATAGGTCGAGATCGACCTTTGAGACACGGTCGGGCAAAGGTGGGGGGATCGGAATAAGAGGGAACAAGAAACGACTTTAGATCGGAGGTACTGAAGCGACAGCGTCAGAATTCCAGCTTCAGTATTCCTTTGATGCCCTGACCGAGATGAACGTATGCCATGTCTGTATAGCACGACCAGCAGTTTATATCTGCAAACATCTCAAGCACGGAATATCGCACGGGGAAACGAGGTGTCTGTGGTCTGCGGTACACCCCCATAACCGACAACAAATATTTCGCGCAACGATATGCATGTTCTGCCATTTTCGTATGCATAGTTTGAAGGAGCACAAGCCGTAAATGGTAGCTTGGTCCTAGGGAAAGGAGATACCAAACCAGGTTGAGAGTGCTCTTCCTGAATTTCGCGGGGCTGGAACATTTACACGTCCTCGGATGACATCGACGTTCTAGGTGTCGTTTGGTTTTTAGTGTCGTTTTCTCGCGTCTTCGGTAAAGGGGAGGCGGCGATGCCTGAGAGCAGCGGCGGCGTCAGCAGCAGTAGAATCAGCAGCAACGGTAGCAGTGTCGCGGATTTTCTGTTGCACATGGGAGCTGCTAACCACCGTTCGGTATTTCGTTCATGGTGGTGGTGAACAACATTCATTCCCTCTCCACAAGGCGGTGGATGCTGCCGCCGAGATACAAACGGATTCCGCCAATTCCAAACTTGGAAGGGGTGCATGAGACACAGCATATTTCTTCGCAAGCGGCGCGGCATGCGTACAGATCCAAAGACATTCCCGCGCCCACCGCACCTACAGCCTATAGGGCCACGCTTTCCCCAATCAGAATTATGACTCTACAGGACGGTTCCAGGCGTTGCGGTGCACGAGCCGCCTCCTCCCTCAACGCACGAGGTGTCGTTGACGGCTACGTCTATGGAGTGGCCTTCTTCGACCATCGGTGGTGGCCAGTGAGGCGTGTCTTGTCGTAGGCTGGAGAACGACCATCTGAGCACATCGTGCACCTAAAGAAACGAAGAGGGTCGGCAGGGCAAAAGAGGCGGAGGGGGTGGAGTTGAGTATTGACAGTGCAGTACCGTGTGCAGCATGTTAATGTACATACCACTATCAGGACGCGGGCGTGTCTTGTTTTGCATGGCAACGCATACAGAGTCTGCAGCGAGAGATTCAGATTATCAAAACGCGCCCTTCCATTCCCACAGGCAGCATGCAATATGTGTTCCCCCGCACGGCGGTCCGTTGGTACACAATTTGTAACATGTCTTGGTAGTATGTTGAGATAAGTTGTTCTCCACGATGTTGTCTCAGGTTGCGATGCACTTTTATTGAGTCTTGATGGATGGGCAAGTGAACGCGCCGCAGTTTTGTGCCTATCAGCTGTTTTGGGCCTTGGCCGAGATCACGATCCACCCCGACAGGGTTCAGTACCCACTCCTATTCCAATAGGGGCATGCATACGGCCGTCGAACACCGTAGGTTGCATAAGATATCACACCCACTGGACCAATTTTCGAAGCTTGATATCTCGGCAGGAAAAGCAGTGACGGTGCCGAAAATGGCGTCGGCGTTGGAACCGTCCCGTCGAGAGCTTTCCGAAAACAAACACGACTTCATTTCGACATTCTCTTCGTCGTGTAGTATTCGAGCTTCGCAAATCGGTCCAGGGTGTGTGGCATCTTATGCATCCTAGATATGCATCGACTGCAAGGGTACGGATGAACTTTGTTAGACGTGTGCGAAAGCGGCAATATTGGCAAACTACTGGAAGGTACATGCCGTCGTTGGGTGGCCGTCTACGAGTGAGACCAAGCCTGAAACCACACCTCTAGCCGAACATCTCTGACTAAGAAACGGTTGCTGGAGGGACTGTCCAACTGGGTCCTCTAGGAAATGAATGACACAAAGTGTTTCTCGTCTCTCATGCATGCAGCGTGCCTAGAAACTGAGCGCCGCCTGCAAGGGAAGGACAAGCGTATAGGATTTGGGATTGATCGTTGTAAGAGAGTCGTTATCCTGAACGTAGCGTCTCCCCGTCTAACCTGCCAAGTGTCCTTCCCCGTGCCGGCGGTGAAGCCTACGAAGCCCCTCCCATGATTAAGGCGCAGAGTAGCCTCCAGATTCAACGGCACCACCAAACAGGGCTCCTGGGTGGGACACATCAATACATCACAAGAGTTGTTGAAGGAATTGCGGTGTTTGACGAAGTGTAGGAGGAAGGGTGTCGTGGCTGAGGACGGAAGCACATGTGAAATACCTGACCAGAGCAAGTTTGAGGTAGAACAGGATGTGCAAGGAACTGTTAACGTCGATATAGGGCCAAGGGAACGCCGTAGGTCATGGAAAGGGAGGGGGGTAGTAGTGATATTTCACGCCTTACTGGTGCCATTCCTGTACGCAGTTCCCGACTGCCCGGGGCTACATAGGTTGGTTTTTTCTCGGCTGTTAAGGATCCAGGATAACGCTCAGTTCCCTTTGGGTTGTCGCGCTGCGTAATCGTTTAGTATTAGACGATGCCATGTTTGAAGTTGACGGGGTAGTTCCCTCACTGCAGAGAGTGGTGTATGCATGCGGTGCACTTGGCTAGTTGTAGATGTCGCCTTTTGCAACGAGTTGTTTAGGCCACCACATAGACTTAATAGCACCATGATACCCACATGTTGATGTCCCCGTTCCTAATCCTAAGCCTTATATACATGTATGGTTCACCAGGGGGCAGGCGGCACACTCGTGGTCCTTTTGCGGCCGTGATCAACACGCCTTCGAACCTCGCATCTCAAGTCACTTCGGATGGCGCAGGTGAGGATTTCACCGAACACGTTCGCTGTTCAGTTCGTAGCACGCAAGCGGCGAAGACGCCATATAAATTTTCGCAGACCAGTTTTCGTACAAGCCTTCTCTCACATCCAAGTTCCCAACGTAGACGCTTAGGGTTCCGATTCCAGTCGCCCAATCTGCGGCTCCCTCCCCACCCCCTTCGTTTCTGTCCCCCTGAGCTAAAAAGGTCCCTGTATGCACCAGGGAGGCGGGGCGTGCGGGGAGCTGGGGTCGGTCGTGGCTACGTTGACGTATTGCGGAACGGAACGTGAAGGTTTGGTCCAAGGCACTCTCTGGTCACCGCAATGGAGAGGGTTAACCAAGACGTCGGGAAACGAGTAACGCCACTTGGTCATGGGGGTTCCACAGTGTAAGCAGCTGCGCCCGGTTTTGCCAAGAGCCGAAAAACACTGAGCTGCCCTATTGGATACTCCGTCGTAAGCGAAACGCATACAAGCCAATTTACCCTTACCGACTTCTTCTCTTCTTCTTCTCTTCTGGCTTACCAAAGTGAAAAGAGGCCTGAAAGTTGGGGTGAGATACGGCCTCCGGCGTGACTATCGGCGTGTACACGGCCCTAGCCGTCACCTCTTGGTCAGTGAGGTCGGGCACGTTCGGTGTGGACCCTAGTGAATGCGAACCGTGGGCGCTGCCGGCGTGTCTCCAGCCCCTGCCCCGTCACGAGCGGCCGCGACGGCATCCATGCCGTCCATGTGGACGTGGAGGGTATGAAACCGGAGTGGTTAGGTAAGCAGGGTCACGCCTCACGGCGCTACTGGACCGCCCTCTTCGTAACTGAGTGCAAGTACTGGGCTGCTGCTGTGGAGGCTCCGGCTACACGTATGGCTCCCGGTGCCACCGACGACCGCACACATACCTGGTCTGCACGCTGACGTGATTCTCGAATTGCTCGAGCATCTCGGGGTTGTAGTGCGTGTCGAACTCGACGGCCACCATATTGGAGATACCGGCATACCCCATGCCCTAGTGCCAGGAAGCGAATTGGCATGTTTGGGAAATATTTCTGTATCGAACGGGTGTTTGAACTGCCGGTACGGATGAGAATAGTAAATATCGAGATGCGGGATCTGACACGGGATAGCACCATTCGCTTCCCACGATAGTACTGCCGCACCAACTCTACCGCCTTATGCGTGGTCCTGTACGAGTAATACCGTTGTATCGGTCTCTCGTCGACTAGATTGATTTGATGCATTGCGTACATAAATTTCTCCTCGCGTTTCTAACCTTCTCGCTTCTCGTCTCGTCTATGCCTCCTCCCTGGGCGTCTTCCTCGGCTGCAACTTACCACGCCGCTTCTTCCCAGAGCCGTCGGGCCCTCTCCCTGTATCACAAAGGCTAGCCCGTCGGCGCCCCTCGAGCGGCAGTGCGTGTACACGCCATCCATGGTGTTGCAGCGGAGGGACGGCGAGCTCAGCCGGAAGGTGAAAGTCGTGTCGAACCCCTGTCCGCAGCAGAGGGGGCGAATTCCGAACCGACAACAAGAGGGGAATCCTCTATTCATTTTGGATGTACCAGGTATTTAGTGTTGGTGAGTGGCCTATGGTAGAAAAATCGACCACCGTTTGTAAAAAAATCACCTGAAATGACACGTCACAGCGGCGTCCGACACACCCACCTCTCCCACGGTAACCTCTCGCGGGTACCAGGCAGCACCCGCCGAGGCCGCCCGACTCGATGTCAGCCTCAACGCCGGGCCGCAGGCCTGCGAAACGCCGGAGCCCCAACCCCCCTCTAGGGCCAACTCGCGTGGGACGACCAAGGCGGAAGAGGGCAAGCGCAGTTCTAACCCCGCCGTGTTCGAGGAGGAATTGCTCCACGAAGAAGACGAGGACGAGGACGAGGACGAGGGGGTCACAAAGTGACCTGAAAGCGGGGGTTGCACCGAGGATGATTCGTCGTCGTCGCCAGTCGTCTCGAAGGCCCATGTCTGCTCTTTCCGTCGATCCAGGAAGTAAATCATTCGTACACGACAGGTGAGAGGCAAAACCACGGAGGGTGGGGTTGGGTGGGTCTGGGTGTGCGTGTGCGTGATGTGTGTAGTATGCCATGCTTGGAGGGGGGAAGGGTGTGGGGGGTGTAGTGAAGACAACCCCAGCACGTGCGAATAATCCCTCTCAATATGAACATTTGGACGAAATCGTCGCCAGCACCCAAGATAGTGCTGATCCCGCCTGGTCAGTCCGATTGACCGGGACAAATGCAAACTGTCTTCCCTTGCGGAAACCTTGGTGAGAGGGGCGAGTGGCTTCGTGAGGCAGGGCGACCCATGAGGGAGGGCGAGTAAAGGTTACTGCTGTCTGCCGGCAGTGATCTTAATTTTTCCGCTATGTATTGTCTACGTCTACACCAAACGCTTGCCATCTTTCGCGAACCTACCCGTTCAAAAGGTGTGTCAAAGCGGAGAAACTACACGGGCGTGATGTTTAGGCCAGTTCGGTACTAATTCGACACAAGTTACGTATTTGAATGGACGGCCGGGCAGGCGTGAGTATAGTTTCCGCTTTTGCACGACTAAGGGTTTCCCCCGCCGAGCAGAAGACTCGACACGTCGTAGTGAACGAGAACCGGCGGGTCGTACTAGGTGCAGTACATGTACCTGGCCCGGCGTAGCCAAGGCCGCGCAGTAGTACGGAGAGGCCGCCTCTTCCTCTGCGGAACCGCTCTCGCTGCTGCAGGAGCCCGTGGTGTCGTTGAATGCGTCACAACACGAGGCCGATCGGTTGCAGTTCTCAATCTGAGGATGTGGGGATGCGTTGGTGACAGCGGATGGAGTCTTGTTTGGGGTGCATGAATGATAGGCAGATGAGGGTGTCTCTACAGTGGTGCGTTTTGACCAATGGCCGCGAATGTGTTTCAACAAGATATGCTCGACATGAGGTGGATGTTGGGGGGAAGGCGGGCAACGGTGGCCAATAGTCACGTAACACCTTCACCCCTCGTCGACTTGGGTTATAAAGCGGGCCTCGTGATGCCGTCACGCTGCAAGCAGACCCAACTTGAGGCTGGTATGACATGGTGCACGCAAACGTCTAGCTTTTTTTCCATTGTACCGATTCAACTCTGACGTCGAACCTTTTCGTAGCGACAGAATATTTATCGCGCAACCCAAATTCGTATGTGTTCATTCTTTCTTTGTCACCTGGGCAGTTCCCACCAGCTGCAAGCCGTAGTGCCCTTCCCCTGACCACTGCCCCCTGGGTCCCAGAGTGGCGGCCGCATGACTAGCAGAGTGGTTGAGGGTACGGTTGGCGTTGAACCTGCATCATGGAGAAACGACAGGGAGGCCGAGTAAAAAGCATTTTTGTGAGTGTGTCAAGAGGGTCAGCCTCATTTGCAATGTCTTGAGTCTTTTCGAGCGGGGTGGGGGGAGCGTTCCGCGCGCTGCACATGATACCATAGAGACAAGAGAAGGGAAGGGAAACATTCACAGACAATTCATGGGAGATGCGCATCCACGAATTGGCGTGATTATTACCTGTCGGGATCTTCTGCACAGATTGTACTCCGAGTATTTAACAGCAACTGACCGTTCGGCATTGATTTTGGCCGGTAGGGGAGCCCTCTCCGTCTACACACCTTCAGACTGGCCGCAAAACGTCAGATATGGAACGATACTTGCATTGGTTGGGAACATTCCAGCCTGCAGGAGAGCTGGATCACTTTGTTAGGGTAAGAGGCTATGCTGGCAGGCCAATTAACAAAGCTTCGTCTACATATCCCCTCTGAGAAAAAAAGCGACGCGAGCAAGCAACGACAACCGGAACAGCGTGGAACATAGGTGGTGCCTAAACATAAGTCGACCCGCGTGCACGAGCAGCATCTCTTGTTCAGTTGTGCTTCATGAATGCTGCAGCCAAGGACACACGGTTTCAGCTAACCGTTCTGTAGCTACGTTGGACGCTTGCAGCGGCAAGCCGACGTGTGATATCTTTAGTTTTCTTGTTTGCCACTCAGAGTCTGGATCATTGCGTTGACGTGGGCGTGGCAACTGACAAACCGGCCCATTTCATAAAAACTCATCAAAATGTGCAACCGCGCATCGGACAAACACGACCACTTGCCGCGGAATTCGGAAAGGCAAACTGCAAAGTATATATCACGTTGACACGTTCACAATAGGGCCGAAAGAAGCGATGAAGGCGCCACACCGTTAGAGCCACGTGGGTGTTCTCCTCGCTTCTGTGTTAACATTCTCCGCACCTCTCGAAGAGGATATCCTCCGTGAGGGTGGAGACGACGCTTGAAGCATCTCCAAAGTTGCCAGTAGCGGCTTCTGGCAAAGGCGCGCGTCTGCCGTATAGATCCACCTGTCACCGCACTCAAGCACCCACCCATTTTTTGATTCAAATCGTGAGCACGGACCCCGGGAACAACGGCGTCGGCAAACAATAATGGTAGATAGTGGTGGGCGCCTTTGGAGTGAGAAGCATTCAACTAGCAAGACCGAGTGATATCAACGATGCGCGTTGACTGATCTGGTCGGGACAAAGGGCGTAGAAAAGCAACAAAGTCGGTGGTGGGTGCGTTCGCCAGGTGCTATTGGTGAGAGTCGCGTTTGTTCTCTCCGTTCTGCTCTGATTCGCTTCTGTATGATTTTCTTTGCTTCGCGTTGGTTGCAGTAGCTTGCTTTCCTTCTCTTCCCTCTCGTGTGGTCCGCACGTACCTCCTCTCCAGCAGGATCTGACCTGTTCTCCGACAAGCCCCTCACCCAGAAGGCGTGCAACGTTCCCGGGACTAATCCGCGCACAGTGGTGGTCGTTACGTTTCCGACCGTCATCTGGCCGTGTCATCGCAATGTGGTCACGTGTGATGAACGTTAGGATCACCGGTTCCATGTCACAGAAGAGTGCAGCATCGGCGGGATCTCGACTAGCATGGTACGACGCAGCCGTTGTCAGTGACAGCCCAAGCTCATCTTTGCACTTGTTGCCCCCGCAACACATACCAAGAGGTAACGCATTCGTAGGGCATTGAACAAGCTTCTCTGTTGGCCCGATACACGTGATTTCTTCTTTTTCTCATGTACAGGAGATATAGCTCGAAACTGTGGCTCAACTGTGTTCGTGTGCGTCCAGTCATCATCTGAACGGTTCGAAGTGATGCGCGGGGTACAAATAAACGTCAGTGACAGACTACGTGGTAGGTCGGGGGAAGCCCCACTTCAATTTGAGGTGAGCACACAGCTTGGTTTTGTCGCCGGGGCAGATTCCCAACTGTCACAGTAGCATCTACCTCATCTCATCATCTATAAACGAGATACTGACGGCAGTTTGGGGAAACAGACAGGAAAAGAGGGTGCAGCGAGAGGAGAAGAGAAACCGACGAGGGAGCAGGGAGTGCAGGGGAGGACGTCATAGATCTGTAGGGAAGAGGGAGTAACCTTGGAGCTGCAAGAACACATTGAACAACAAAGCAATTCCATCGATGATACCCGCGTTTAGTGGTTAGCCTCGCAATTTGGATGACTAACTGGTCTTCGCTCAAATAGCCTAGAACCCAACTAACTACGGGCAGAGAAGACCATCATAGATCACACAACAAAGGTTGACTAGATGACAAACTTACAGTCTGCTCCACTTCCTCCTCCCCCGCCCCCACGGTGTCATTCTCGACCTCCGACCCGTCTGTTCCAGCGGCAGTGGAGGTAAACGATCTCCATCCAACCTGTCCTCGAATGGCGTCCGTTCGCGACGGCCAGAGGGGGCTTAAACACGATGGCTGGCATACATGAAACGCGGTGGGGGCTGCAAAACGGTCGTGGGGTGATGAAAGCACGCGAAGATTGCAGTAAATCCACAAAGTAAAATACCCCCTCATTTTCGGCCGAGGCTAGATTTAGTATTTCGTCGCCAAAACGCCGGGCACGGGCTTCCTACGTAGATTCAGCATGGCATCCACCGCTGAGGAGTGCTTCTTCACACAGATATTGTTTTCTTCCTCTCGCAACCTCTGGCGTACTTTCTGAACTGCGACCCTCAGCTGGTGTACCCATTCCCCTTGTGCACACGTCTTGAAAAAGTCTGCCGAAACACATGCGAGGGTAGCCGCTATAGTAGGCTAGATACAGAAGGAGATAAAACCAGCAAAAAAAGTAGACACCTGGTAGCCGGTGACCGACAGGGCTTGCCAGTAATCAGTTGGCGGTTCCCAGGACAAGTCCACCGAGTAGGCGGCCACATTGGAGACGAAGGGTTTCCCGATAGGCGGTGGCGGTGCCTGCAGTTGCCGGGTGCAGTTGTGAAGAAACTCAAGAGGAGAACGAGCTGCGCCCTCTGAGCACCCCGTGGGCAGGAGGAGCGAACGATACACCGATTTATTGTTGGTCATATTTCCGCTTCCCATGTACCGGATACATCTACATGTGGCGTTTCTTAGTTTCCCTAATTGCTGAAGTTGACCATAAGCTATGGACGCCGGTACTGGTTCTCGGGATTTTTCGGCGAGTAAATGTACTCTTTTAAACTGGATTGGGTCTCTCGCTTGAAACGGGTGACGCCGCAAACGTCAAGAAATATCCGCGATTAACGTTCGATGAAATTCTAAGCATATGTTGTCCATCTGTGTCATCACCGCTGGCCTCCCATGCTTCATACGCCGCCCAAGAGTTTTCCTATTTTTCATTCCAAGACCTTCGACATGGGAACATATGCCGCACGTTGTGCTGACGTTGTTGACCGAAACCTGGATCAACCCGTGCCCACACACCTGATACGACAGGTACCGAACCCCGTGCTTAAGGCCCGGCATCCTCCCGTTCACCACCTCGATCGTAGACGCCCACTCCTCATACGAAAACCCTGAGTCGGAGGAATTTCTTTTTCCCAAACCCACATCACACAGTGACGAATATGCTGATGTTGCCTCCAATATCTCCGCGGCGGTGGTAGCCGTAACGGGGGGGGAGACACAGCTGAGCTCGACCTCCTCGCTCCCGGGGGTGTGAACCACGTGAGAACAAGGGGATCCGTCCACGAATACCTGCAGTTCAAATAAGGTTTCATTTCGTTGTCTTGATCAAGATTTGGCATATGCTGCGTGCATGAGAAGCGATCAATCAACCAAGCTTCCAAGGTTATCGGTATTTTAGTTCGGGAGGGGAAATTTGCGACGTGAACTCGCTCGTAATAAATTGGAACAACCCGTCCAGGAAACGCGTACTTGTACGCCGCGATATGAGCACCGCGTACTGAAGCACCACTGTTCCTCGCCTACGTGTTATATTCTCTTTCTTATGCCGCAGAGAAGCAAGTGCTCAGCCATTCGCAGTCCCCCCCTACCCCCCTCTCCTCACCCGCGACCTGTTGGCGTGTTACACGTACGTAATTGTCAGCCTGAGCTACGCAATAAGGTAGCTCCGGCGCGCAGCACCGACATTCTAATCCTGCATTCTGAGAACAGGACCGAAAACTTCTGCTTATGTGCGGATATATGCAGTATACAGTAGTTCACCTTGGCATTGGCAGGCCCGAAGGCTTCTCCAGCGATGGTGATGATTTCGCCGCCTCCTTGCAAGCAAGACTTTGTCGTGCCATATTCGGCTCCCTGAGAGTATGGACGTTTGTTGCGATGTTGGTTGGCGATTTAGTAAAGGCGCAAATCAGAGGATAAGAAGCGCAAGGCGTAATTATTCTCGACGTTCATATGCACATGTATGTAGAGACTCCTGTGTTTTGCGATACCGCTCTCTGAACAGATGTTAACGCGTCACCGGCTCACCTCGACAGTGCTAAACTGAGTGCGGCCCAACCGAAGAAAACCGTTGATAAGACCGTTGGCGGCAGTGACGTTAGAAACCCCAGCAAGGTCTCGTCCAGACTCCGGCGTGTCCGGCCACTCGTAGGAAACATCGATGCAACCTCTCACTCGCTTCACACGCGGGGCGCGGACGATTCGAACCTGTCGTTGGTGACGGCGGTAGCGGTGTGGTTAGCGTTGTTGTTGTCGTCACTATCGTCGGTATTATTATTCTTTAGGCAATGGTCCAAAGTGTAGATGCCAGCACTTCAAAGGTGAAGTTCAAAGTACACACTTTTAAACTGAACTTTTCGAATACAGTTTCATTTTCGCCAAATTTCACCGCATACCACACGTTGATCATATTCGTTTTACCATCGGCACCAAGCGATGTCTCTCCTAAAGGGTAGGGTGATACTGGTGAAGTCTCAGCGTTGGCTGCATGATAGAGGACTGAGGATCGAAGCAGCCCGGGAGTGCACCGAGTATGGAATGAGAAAGCGACATGGGTGGAACTTACTTTCCTCACTCACCGAGAGAGGGTCAATTTACCGGGGGGGGTTGCTAGTGTTTCTTCTTCAAATATGAGCACGTGGGAAGCCCTGCATTTTTTCGCCACCAACATCGATTCGGAAACCTTACAGACATCATATGGAACACTTCCAACTCAACACAAACGCTCCGGACAACAATCCGACGGTTAACTCGCTCTCTTTCCACGCTCCAAGTCACTAGGGTCTACAAACGTGCCCCCTCCGTCGGAGTATTGAGTGTAACGAAAGCAAAACTCGCGTGTACACTCCACCCATCACAAGCCGACTTAGTTGGGACAGAAAATGGCAGCAAAAACACATGCAAATTACACCACCAACACCTTCCCCCGCCGTGCTTGAACCGGTTTTCAGTAACAACAAACACACAAATAGCAACTTTATGTCTACACAACGGAAACAACACGCTACAGGTAGTCCCCCTATATTCTCTCTCCTGGACACAGACAACACATCACGGGTTGTTGTCCGCATGCTTTCCCACCCAGTCTAGCTCGAAGGCGTCGCCTCTGCTGGGGGAAAGCGAGGCGTTCCGCCTGCCGGCAATCTCCTCCGCTTCTATGCCCGGCCTCAGCCTAAGCTGGGTCAAAAGGCCCTGAAACGTTCGGTGGATGGGAACGTAGTACACCTGGCCGGCCGGTAGAGAAATTGGTTTGGAAGAAATGGGGGGGGGGTGGAAAAGGCGAGAAGTCCGTGTTGAGCGGTGGAAAATATTGGTTGTTGTTGTTGGCAGCCCCGTCGTGGGTGCCGGTGGTGGTGGTGGTGATGATGGCGGTGGTAGGGTAGGCTTTGGTTCCATGTTGTTTACTATGGCCGGCGGTGATGGGTGTTTCGGATACGTTTTTCTATAGCTGCACATACGTGTGTATTCTTCTTCACATCGGCTTATACAAACCATTAGCCCTCGAAACCAGCAGGCGAAAAACAAACATGCTATTAGACCAGAACACTTGTAACACTACGTCATGTTCGTACGAACAGGACAACGCCCGAACGGGAGGGATGTTCTTGCGGTTTCAAACACTTGGGAAGAAGAAGTAGATAATGGGCAGGATAGTATATTAATGCCAGAGCTGAAATTTAGGTTTAGACCAATGTCGTTTGCCTCCAGCATGGGGCTGTCCCTGCTGCTGTACGCGTACTGATATGGCTCACTCAATGGAGGTGGAGGTGCTACCGAAAACGTTTTTCCCCGTGAGACCCTGATCCTCCCTAACTCTCAATTCTTAAACGTCGTACATCTCTTTCCAGAACCATTTAAATGCACTTCGTAGAATGAAATATGGCATCTCGCGTTGCACTTACATGGAAGGCATCATCGTTGACAACCTCGAAGTCAAGGGGCTCAGGAAGGGTCGTGTCTCCCGGTCCGAGCAATTCCACCTTGTATGTGTTGTTGTTGCGTTGTTGGCGAAGGTGTGAAGTATGCGGGGCATATCAGGTTGGAAGCGACAAAGGCACCACCGACCCAACTGAGGACCAACCTAGGACCTAAACCATATGAACATTTCTCGGCTAGCCAATAACGCATCCCACAAACCCAAACTACAGCAATAATGCCAACAGCTGCGCAGCAGTAGCAGCGTGCCAACAATAACTACAACGACAAGAGCAACACGATGGAAAAAACAAATATGACGACAACGACGACGATGATGGCCACGACTCCACTTAGGGGGTCATTCCCTAGGCTTTAGACGACAACGCTGATACTGTCTTCCAATCTAAGGCAGAAAATATACACCAAGTACCACCTACCTCACGTAGGGTGATGTTTTCGGCGCCGTGACTGTCCAGGACATAAAACCGCCAGAATCGGCCATTGCTCGAGGGCACCTGTCAATGAAAGGCCGGTGACACAGGGAAACTACCATGTTGCCCTCCTGGCCGCGACTTGAGCATATGGCAGAGTTCACACGTGGCTAGATTCCATGAGAAAATTCACGAGCTTTGCCCGGTATTACGGGAACCGTCGAACACCCCGACAAGAACGCGTCTTGAACAGAGGGGGGGGCTAGTTTCAAGATGAGGGCGAGCCTCCCACCGAGGAAAGAGGGTTTTGAGCATTAGCCCGTTCTGAGAGCCTTCAGTAATGAGTGTCCACATTTTGTGAATAGCGAGATCGGTGAACTCCTGGCGCCAGAAATTGCTTCATGGAGGCACCAAAGGGAAACAAAGCTACCATGTACGGCGCGCACGGTATGGCCGGTACGTCAAGCACCGCTCATCAGCATGAGTGGTGAAGTTTGATCAATTTGGAAGGAAATGTCTTGAAGCAAGACGATCGGAGTAATCGAGATGGCCTACATTGAAGTGAGCATGCCGTCCGCACTCTCTTGTGGGCACGGGGGATGGCTGATGGTTCTGGCAGATGGGAAAGGCAGCCCACTGTTCCGTATTTCATGCTGGGCTTTAACTCGATCCCGCACAAATTCTCAGGGTTGTTTCTTCAACTCGTTTCTAGCCACACGTCACTACTTGAGCACTCCGGGAATGAAGAGTAAGTTTTGACCACAGAACAATCGATACAACGTCTCTGTAAGTCTTTCCTTCCCTTGGTTTAAGTATTTGTTCCTCTAAGCTTGTAGTCACACAAACAACCATCACGATGGTATTCTTGCACATTTCTTCGGAAGATACAATAGCAGCCGATCCCTTACCGCAAAATCCTGCGCATCTGACGAGTTACCAAGCGTGAGGTTGGCCACCGTCGAAAACTTCCCGCCTGCCGATAGCCCTCGCTGGAGTCGGAAATTTCGAGGATTCGACTCGCCTCCAGGCGCCTGTAGATGTTGGTGGTGGTTGTGGTCGTGGCCGTCGCGAGGAGGGCGTGATCAGGCAGAAGTTGAAGCAAGAATTCGCGAGCTCACGACAGGAACCTTGGGAGTCGTTTTTGCCCCCAAACATGAGGCAACCCTAAGGCTTCAGCCGAAGCTAGGTCACACGAATGAACCACAGAAAGTTTTCTCCATCATCGCCAACAAGTTCCATCCATGATGGTGGAGATGAAACAGAAGCAGATCCGACACGAGGAGCGCGTGAGACGGGTCAGCGCGAACTAATTTTGTTTTTCGTGTGTTGTGCCCACAATATGCCATGTTCGTCGCATGTCACACATCATGGCTACTCGAACGTCGAAGGTCGCACGAATGCGGTGAGAGAAAATAGTCGGGCTTTTGACTCTCGCGCAATGTGGCGATATAGTCAAGGAGGCGTTCCTGGCACCCGAAAGAGACGAATGGAGGGTTACACACCCCCACAACAACACCACGTGTCTACGAACAGGAGTTCCGCTGTATACTATTGTGGAGTGCTTTCGGCCGACATTGACCTCAGGTGAATTTCTTGCCGTCGCCAGAACGTGGGACTGGCTAGTCATATGGGATCACGCTACAAGCCTAGGCCGTTCTTGTCGCCCGTCATCCACGATGCTGCTCCCAGATACCTGTACGCGGACCGCGGTGACCTCACGAGTGCTTCCCAAATCCAGCGTGACCCACTCGTTGGTACTGCTGGAGGCCTCCCATAACGTCGTGAGGTCGCCATCGGCAGACAACGAGGCGTTACTCGCTCTGCCGCTAGAAGAACTCTGTACCACCACGGAGGCGTTGTCCCTAACCACGAGAGATACACGGGATAGGAAGGCGGAGGAGACACGTTGCTGTCAAGGTTGTAAAATCTGAGGTTTCATGTCTATAGTTTAGCTGTTTGATTCGAATCATGACTGCGAGACATGTTTGGATTTGTCTGCGGCCGACCGATCTCCCTCAAACGCATGCCCCAGGAAGCGTGGATGCGGTCCCATTGTCATCGTGTGGTGAGATGTGTACCACAAAAACGCACGCCAGGGTCCTTCCCATATCAACTGCCTCCCCAGGTCAGGTCGAACTTTGAGCACAGCAAGATGAGCATTTCTAAACACACAAGGGCAGATTGCGCTACGAAGGTACATATGCCGGTGTTGGCTAAGGGAGAGGGGCTCGCGTTGAATCTCACGCAGACTGGAGTTGATCGTGTCATAAACATGCCAAAGGCGAGCAGCGAGAGGGCAGCAAAATCCGTTCTGAGCCCCCCGTAGAGAGACTAGGACCGATATGATGGCGTAAACACCTCATGCTAAGCAATACCACAATTCCTTCCGGGGTCACGTGCTTCGATTTCGTGTACACGCATTCAATGTAGGACCACCAAGGATGCTGCCTGCCCAATGAGAATCGCCGTCATCCGGAGTATTTCTTGGCAGAAACGAACGCGCTCTTTCCAGCAGTAAGAAACTCGTTGACAGTGACGAGCAACGTCTGTTCGACGCGATACTATTGTTCGTTCGGGGTGGGCGGGGGGTGGTAGTGTGTGAAAAGCACAAGCACTATACTGTTGATTGGTGAGTGGCCTGCTGCTGACCTCGTGGTCCAAGGGTTGAGGCCATGATCCGTTGTCCCCGGCAGCCGCCCCGTCCGTAGCTCCACTCGTCCGAGTGTAGCTGCTCGATAGATCAATCAGTGAAGCAATGGGTGTTTTGTTGGTGTTATGTGCTGTTATGTTCATTGATGTTGTTTTTTTGTGTTGTTGACGATAGTAGTGGTGGTGGATGGTGTTGACATTGGCATATAGGATAAACCAATCGACGTGGGTGGACGTTGTAAACGAAAAGTAGCATTGGCCGAAAAGAAGAACGTGATGAACGAGAGTAACTTTGGGGAACATCCGCGTCTGTTGATGGTTGCCGCTCAGAAACACAACTCACCTGCTCCGCTAGAACGCATCCGCAGTACTACGTGGTGCCGGTCTGTTGCCGAGACACGAAAGATGGGTGAGTCCATATGAGGCGATGGGCCGCGCACCGTTCCGCGGATCGTTCCCGAAGGTTTCCACTGAACTTCGGCATCCATTTGCACTGAAGACGCTCTCGCCCACGCATCAGTTGAGCTATCGAAGTCCCAAGAAACTGAAAAAGCCGGTTAGGTGACGATGTTTTAGGTTTAGGGCAAATGGGAAGGGCGAGGAAGAAAGCAGATCCGTACAATATAAGATAGACGAATGTGCGATGTGGGGCACGAGAGAGAAAGTGGGGATGGGAGACTTACTGCTCTGAGCGGTCGTTGTCGGAGCAATGCCCCTTAAATAAAGTCCCGATGTCTACTTTATACCTCCTTTAAAATAGATTTCGTGGCGCCGTAAACACTAGACTACTCCGTACTCATGTGTAGACTGATGTACATGTTGTGTGATATTGTTCCAGTAGTACCGCAGTTCTACAGCAGTACAGTAGTACAATAATAGAATGGTGCTGCCCCCAATTTTCGAGTGCCGCACGTAGGAATGGAGATCTACGTTTTTTCCGGCAGAGCTGCCGCCAGTGGTTAGCCTAACCGCTTCAGGTAGAGCCGTTTCCCTCTCATCGTTGCACGACAAAGCTCCCACAGAAAATCTCCACACTGACTGATGAGTGACCTTCGATTGCATCGTGTCCAGCCGTGTGAGCTGCTAGTGTCGTCAGCAGGATAAGCACCACCAGCGGTAGCAAGTGTTTCCATCCTTTCCTCATTGCGACGGGCGTCTCAGGTGGTCAAGGATTGTAGCTACCACCGCCGTCCGTGTTTGGGGTGTGCGTTTGGAGAAGAGCTCGATCTTGGATACGGCTGCATCTCCGCTCGTCGCCTTGTCGCTCCGCGGCGTATCTACCAAATCTACCGAATCTACGGCTATTCGTCCTTGTTTTTAAGCACCCCGCACCCCTATAAAACAAGCCATCGGGGGCCCCCAAGACCGACGTTACAACAGGCCGGCCTCCGAGACTGCAAGACAGACCCAACACTAACTGAAGCAGAGACAGCAGCTAGCCTTTGGAGAGGGAGACACACGAGGCAAGCAAGGGACAAAGGGAAAAGGAGCGCCCCAAGCACGCAAGCAGGACAGGCACAGGTGTCGACTTGTTGTTCTTGTGTCAAAGGTGAGAAGAAACGGCCTCGGTTTTGCCTCTCGAATGACACACACACACAAGACCCGCCTTGGTGGCAACGCACTTCGCCCAAGCCTCTTTGGTGTTTGTACGCCCGCACCCGGACCGAAGCCGGGCTCGCCTTGCACACCGACTGTGCTGCAAGGGAAATGCTGCGCGGTGATGAGGGGCTACGTCCACCCGGACTCCCTGCGCTTGAATGTTGCGCCTCGGTGTGCGTCGTGTTTTGTGCCCGGTTCCCTCGGGGATTGGCGTTGCCTTCTATTGTAAGACCCCCTGTATTTGCCTCTATTTGGAACTGCCATGTCACCCTGGGGTTGTTGCGAACGCTCTGCTGTCGGTGACGTCTGCAAGTGCAACGTCGGTAGCAAGACAGACGAGGCAGCTGTTCCTGCTAAGCAGCAGCTAGCAAGGCAGTGTCTAGCCTTGTGTGCTCACGGGGGCGTGCTTCGATGATTTTATTTTGTCCCTTGTCCGAAAAAGTGAAGACAAACCACGCAACGTTGCACTTTTGGGCCCGATTGGAACAATATTATCGTACTCAGTACAAGTGCAGATAGAAGTTGAGCCTGCACAGCAGCAGCACCACGTTGTGTCATGTCTAAAAGCGAGGCGATGTGCTGTAGCCATGTCCGAGCCAAGCGCTTGCTTTGTCGTGGCTGCTCTGGCTTGCACTCCGCCCTCGTCGAAAGATTCAGTCATGTTGGACTTTTGGTCGGTACAAGAGGTCTGTTGGTCTGTTGTACTCGAGGGTTCCATATGCAGTTGTCCGTCCAGGAAAGACGGGAAGACCCAAAAAAATGCATCATGTTTTGGGGAAGAGCAGATAGCATTTACTATACGTACATGCATGCGCATGTTTACTGCTCTATCGTAGCACATAGATGATCACCTACCCCGCTCATCTCAACGAAAAGAATCATTGGACTCCTCCCTATTACGAGTGTTCAGTCTCGACAACATCGACGTGGCGGGCGTTAGCGCATGATGTGGGGCTCTGCCTTGTGTTCTCTCGCTGTCGGCAGCGTAGAGCAGCGTACTACACGTTCTGCTGTACTACTGCTGTACCACATGGTACGCATAGCAAACAGGAGAACCAATCTACTGCTGCTGTACAAGTGTAGCACTTCCGCAGCTTCCTGTTGATGAGGTGTCACATTCAGTGTTTTTTGTTTTCCAGTAGTGTTTTTGCGGGCGCTTTCGCCTCTGCGTGCAGTTTCCTATGTTGTTGTTCGTCTGCGTATGTGCCGCGTACCCATTTCCTCGGTTTCCTCTCTCCCTCGAGCAAAATGCACGCACACTGCATCAGCCAGCACCACACGTCTCGTCGGCTGTATGCATACTACCATTGATGTTTTACTATAATAGAAGTAATTTTCTGGTCGCGCCACACACCACCCGGTACTTCGGTTGGATTATCGCACATGTTGGTATCATCAGGCCTGCCTCTCGCCCCCCGTTGTTATGTAGTACGGCTGTAGATGGAAGTTCTGGGTCCACGATGTTGACTTTTGGGCGTGCAGCATCGAAACAGCGCTATGCTGTGTGCTCAGGGCTCATAACCCTCCGGTAGATGGTTCCGCCGCCCGCTGTATTTTTGTGGGACGGCAACATGTGTCATTCGTCCACGTTGATCTGATTAGACTAAATAGAGGACTAGGGAGTCAACACGGTAGCTTTGAGTCAGATGCCGCGCGGCTTTTACGGGGGAGGCAACTATTTAACTGTTTTGTGCGGCAGAGGAGCACACACCATCAGGAAACGGTTCTGTGTGTTGCGCGTTCTTCAGGGGCAAAACCCGCTCGCCCGCAATTCGATAAATAGCAACACGCGCTTCTGGCTTTCGGCCGAAAACGTAGCAGCGCTTTTTTTCGGCGGAAGCCAACAGCCCTACAGGCGATTCTCTGTCGCCCTCTCCCTACCTCTCGAAAAGCAGGAAAGTTACTTCGATGATGGGTAGAACAAGTACAGGCAGTAGTACCGTAAGAATTGCGAGTCCCCGCACCCCCGTGCGGTCGTGTGTTTTTCTTTTGAAGCGTTTTCGCCATTTCATTTCCATCGCACATGGGTGCCATGCGTGCGTCCGGCCGCTGTGCGGAAATCAACTAAACCTTTTGGTTTTGATATTTAACGCACACCCCTGTGCGATAACTCCCTAATGTGATATCCTTATTTAGTACTTCAGGCGACACAGCAGTAGTTGAAAGCACACCCCCTGCTGTGTGATGGCTCCGGTATGTGCGGTACTCGAATAGAAGTAAATCTTTGCGGGCGGAAGGATGCCTCGGTTGCGCTGTAGTTGTAGGCTCCACACGCAACGTACACACGCACGCACGCTCATCAGTCCACCGATTAGCGCGGTGGATGAGATTCGAGACAACGCACGTGTTGCCCAAACCAAATAATGTACCGATATGCGGCGAAATAAAACGCGGCGAAATAAACAATTCCGCCAGCGGAAAACCGAAATTTCCCGCCCTCGATTTGTATGCATACACTACACAGCAGCAGTCAGTTGGCAATCATGTCAGAGGCTGCTCTTTCTTTGTCATATTTTATGGACACAGTTTCCCGATTAATTAAAATATATCAAACAACAGTGTTTCACCTCCTTCATAGTCTACCTCCACGTTTGGTTTGCGACGATGCCATTACGAAGTATTGTACTTCTACAGCAGAGCTGGCATGCCAGCACCGGCATGGTTGCAGGGGTAAAACTTTCCCCGGAATCGTTGGTACTCAACTACCCTAAGATTACGAATCATCGCACCCATTCCGAACCCTGTGCGGAAATGGAATACACCATTTTTTTTGTTGTCAAGATGACCCAACGAATCCATCTCTATCTATTTTAGCCAATAAAGATTAAGTAATCATGCAGAGGTGTGATGACTCCCGGACTGTGCGATGCAGGGGAGTGAATACCTTCTAAGATAATGCTGGGGGGAACATGATGATCGGGAATCAGAAGTTCCGTGAGGCTTTTGAGTTTGAATGTTTTGTTCGTGGTGACAGTAGGACATGTAGTGGCAAATAAGAACGCGCGAAAGTTCCACCCTTCTTGTGTTGGTTCCATTTTCAAGTCAGCAATATGCATGCACAGCCGGTGCAAACCGCTCTTGTTCGGTGTGTTCTTTATACCGCAATCCCACAAATCTGGCACACGCATATTCTTCAGCGCTTCGAGCTGAAAGCCTGGTGCTTGTGTGCTTCGTTTTCAAGTTGGTGATGACTGGGTTTGTGCAGTTCGGCGAGGAATTTCATTGGAAAAGCCTGTCAAGGCAAGCCAGACAGGCATCCCGAAAAGGCAACCGGTGCCACCATGTAGTTATCGTTATTCGTCAAACAAGCGTCTTCACTATGCAAGTGTTTGCGTATTGTGTTTCTGCGTTGTATTTAGAAAGTTAACAAAAACATGGCGACTGCCGCCGACAACAGCGGCTTCATGCTCAGAAGCCCCATCGTCGAAAGCATATCGTAGTTTCTAAACCCGACGATCGAGTTCTTACAACATTGGTGAAAACTTGCGTGCCCAGATAGTATCAACGAACAACCAATCTTTGGGTATCACGCCGGGTTCGTGTAGCGTGCAGCAACCAAACCACCTGCGCCCTTGGGTGACCCTGCTGTGTAGGATGGAAAGATGGCCTTTTCTCTGTGTGTGATTCAGCCCGACTATGAGATGATGTCGCGGGGGGTGGCTATACAACGGTGGGCGGGGCGAAGGCAAAGAGGATAGCACTAACGACCTAGACACCGTGACATAGGATATAAGAGATACTGCTGTAGCCCTCTAGCTTTCTTGAGACACGTCCCAACCAGCGGACAAGCATCGCGCTTTGTCGTTGCTCCTTTGGCCTGTCGATCCTACTAAATATATAGCGTGAACGTCCGAAGAGAAGTTAAAAACTTGGGAAATTGTTTGAGAAGAGGTGGCAAGGGACATAGACTGAAAGACCCTCCGCTTTCGTGGTGCTTTTCTCTCACAGCTGCTGTAGATGGCCATGACGTGTACTGGTGCATGGAACGTTCGGCCCACTTCAGCATACTTAAATTTGTACGGTTATTGTCTGGACAAACCAAGCCCAAGCGTAGCTGCGAGCAAGTGCGTGTCTCTTTTCCATTTGTGAAGCCCGCTTCTTGTTCTCTCTCTCTCGCTCTTTCTCCCTCCCATCTTGCTGACACCGCCGTCTCTCAGGCTCCCTAGAACCTCCTCCTTAACGAACTCAAGTCGCACGAATAGCTGTGTAGCTGACAGACTGCTAAGCACACGCGGCATTGCTACAATCAACAATCACCCCCCCCCCCCCTCCCTCGGCCCACCCCTGCGGCAGTTGCATCACAATGGACAACGCATCGCTAACGCAGTCACAGAGGGAGGCCCTCATCGTGAAGGGTTTCGGCCCAACAATGGTTCACTTTGTCAAAAACAACGGTGGCTGGATGTTCAACCTCGTCTTCGCCCACCTTCTCTTCTGGCTGTTCGGGTTCACGGCACTGCTTGAGTTCGGGTGAGGCGGTGGGGGAGAGGAGCAAGAGGCTCGTTTTGTCTCGAAGGGGATGTCAAGAATGGTCCTGCTGTTTGCTGGATCTTTGGATGACAACATTTTGGTTCCTTTTGAGGCAACCGTGCCATGCCTCCCCTCTCTCGTCACGTACGTGCACAGACGTCCGATAAACCAGACATTCGTATGCCCTCATGTCTTCATTCCGTTCATGTGACTTCGTGCCATCTACGAGGCCATCTCTGGTCCATGCATGTCTAATTTGTCCACGGTTCGTGTCCCTTTCTCGTTCTTGTATCTCTCTTGTACCCCCCCCCCCCCCTCACCCTCCGATAAGATGTGCAAGAAATTTTTATGTAGTTTGTGGCAGAAACGTAAAGAGCTCCCAAATGTTGGTGTCTCTAGTAGGGGTAGGAACGGTGCTCCGCCTCGAAAGAGACGCGTGGTCAATGGTCAAATGACTAAGGCAAGCAACAAATGAGTACGCCCCCCTCACCCTCCCTCGTTGCCGTCCGCACCCGTATAGGTACTCGGACCTTAACCAGGATTCCTCCGGTCAAATCAAGTCCGGCCCATCCGGATCAGGGGTGGGCATCATTACAACGCTCCTCATGGCTGTCGGGACGTTGGTTGTCGTTGCCAAGGCGGTAAGAGGGGGAGAGAAAAAGGGAGAGTGGGATGGATGGCTGTAGCGAGAAAGAGGAAAGAGAGTAATCGACAAACCAAGCGTTCAATTTTTGTTCCCATGGGCACCTTCTGCGGGTATCTTGTAGCAACGGGAGACGGTAAGGGATATCGTCCTAGGCTACTGCAATCCATGGCGATGGCAATTGACAGCTTCCCCGAAGTTCTGCAGGCCGGATAGGGTACTTAGAGTCATTTTATATGGTGTATGGATACACATATTTGCACCCCTCTTCCAAACACCCGGCGTTTGCGATACCAGAGTA